GGGACCCGTGCTAGGGGCTGTGCTGCAATTTTTGGTGTCTGCTAAAATAGCAAAACACTTGGTCCACGCCCTCTGTTGGTTGTTTATGCAAGAACTAACTAATATGTAGCTGTAATTAAATTTTTGACGTTGTTTTCTTGTGGGAAAGTGTCCTGTCGTGGTCTTGGTGCTCGTGCTGCTGTCGTGCCTGTGCCTCCCGGCCGAGGTACCTGTCACTTTCCGCACAACGTGTGGCTGTCCATTTTGCCCGCACTTGATATAAATTGACTTGGCCAAGACGTTGGCCCCGAGTCGCTTCCGCGACAGCAACTCCTTACGTGAGCCCCATTTAAAGTTGCAGGATGCAGGACCAGACCCGACCTCGACTCACAACACGTCTGCTGTGGCGGGGTGTCAATGGTTGCTGAACCAATTAGAAGCGACTGACAAAAGCCAGGGGCTAAAATGTGATATTTAATCAAGTTTGCAACTTAAAACCGAACTGCCATAACTTCACCTATTTTGGTTGGCTTAATCTGGAGCGAGGAACGCCGCGAACATGGTGGCCAATGATTTATTTCATTGTCCGGCTGGTGTGCGGGTGACAGTAATCCAGGATTTAAGTCGAAGCCCCATCCGGGCATCCGGTCCGGCGGCGCACAATGCAACCGGCAATCGAGGTGCAAACGCAACGAAAATGAATTATCCGTTTTGTATGGAATCAATTTATGTGAGCTGCAGGACCAGCCCTCATCCACTCCATCCCCCCCACCCCGAACATCCTTGCAGCTCTGTCAGGGTCTTCGCTGAGATATGCAGAGCAGCACACGGAGCGGGCAAAAACGGAACGAGATCTGGCAGCGGAGGGCGCAAACAAATGACGATTCGAAGCACATTTTGTTCTTTAACTTGAAATTAATTAACTTTTGTGCTCCCTTTTGTGGCTGTCGCCTCTCTGTGTAACGTGCAGTGGTCCGTGCAGCAAGGCACGGCTCACTCGGTCGCGTTGGTCGTAAAAAATATCCAACAATATTTAACTGTCAGAATTCGCGACTTTTTACGCTTCGACGAACGCATAAACAAACCGCACTGCGTGCACAATACTCCTCAATACTCAGTACTCGCCCTCTGACTGTGACGCGTGCATATAAATATATATATACATATATACGATTCCTATATCGATCTGTATTCCCCTGGATTTATGTGCAATTTAATTACAATTCATCAACTGATTCGATGGCTCCATTAGCTATTCTCTAACAGAACATATAACCCGGGATTAGCCCTTAAATAAACACCTAATACCAAATATCTGTTTATTTACTCACATTTACTTATTTGCTTGTGTATAATCGCTCGCCCTGTTTTGACAAACTGTTGAAAAGCTAATCAATCCACCAGAACAGGCAAATATTTACCATGTCTGCCCAGGCCGGACTCCCAGCTCGATTAAAAATGTTTATTTGATCCAGGCCCCATGAGCCTTTAAATCTCAAGAGCATTTCGCATTCCCCCACACTGCTTTGTGAATGAAATCGAGTTTCTGTGGCCTGCCACAAAGTAAGTCCACTCGAATGGCCATCGAATGGTGTGGGGGGCATCAATATTCAATAACTTTGATAAGCTCTTTAAATCGCCATTTAATTGATTGTTCTGCTGTGACAACGGGTTGACAATTAAATCCTTTATTACAAACTACTTCCTTCGACAAAAGCTTCAATTATATTGCACTCCAGAGATTTTTCCCCAAAGAGTAATCAAAGGTCTAATGAATAAATTGAAACGTTTACCCTTTTCGTAACGTGTGAGTGCGCAAGGTAAGAGTTTTCTCCAAGTAAAATATGCATTTAAATCAAATCATTTTATCGATTTTATATGGAATGACTTTTGTAATTATTTTGCGGCTTTATGTCTGTATGGGGTCCGATTTAAGTGTGTAATAATAAAGGTAGAACCTGGAAGCAATGCACATTTATGTACGTTAAATGTTCGGAAATGTGTCATTTTCCGCGGCCCTAAATCATCAAACGAGTGCCCTCTGCACTCTGCTATAAATCACACTTTAATATTCCTATTTTCAAACAGCATGCAGCGCAGCACAACGCTTTTTGTATAAATATTATATGAAATAAATGCCGCTCAATGGGGATCAGCAAATGGATGCAAGCATTTAGCCATTCGGCGATCAAATAACGCTCAATTAATCATTCAGTTGTGGTAAAAACAAGTCCTGGACAGCACTTGGCCATTGGGCCATTTGAATATTATTTTGTGGAGCTATAAATAATAAACTATTGGATGGGCCAAATCCAGGGACCAGTTGCAGGGGATTGTCTGCTTCGTCGCAATGCATCAGCTATGTACGTGCCGGGATTGCGTTCGTTGCATAGCGATTCGAACAGGTGCCTGTCTTCCCAGGCTTTTACCTGGACCTCGACGGGAATTAACAGCCAAGGGGATGGAGGAAGGGGGGCCACAATTCGATACAGATGCAGTGGGCGGCACCCAAACCTAAAACAAAATAGGAAAAAGAATAGAAATGCAAATTGTGCTGTCTGCCAGGATTCTGTTTGCATGGCGACGACGACGATGACGGCGCATCTTCAGAGCCACCTTGGAGTCGATAACTTGACTCTGACAGAGATACCCGGACCTAAGCCAGAGCAAACGAAGCATAAGCCAACGAGCGGTGAAGGAGCGGAGTCTGAAAAGACGCAGGAGACGGAGGTCAAGGGTCAGAGGAGCAAATGTCCGAGTATGCAAATATTGAACGAGACAATCAAATATGCAACAGTATTTTGCTCGTTTTTTCATTCCTTCCCTTCGGTTGCTGCCGCTGCTGCTGCTGCTGCTTGACCCGGCATTAAATTTCGAAGGGAAAACCCATTGACAAAAGGGTTGCACGTCGCCCGACTACATAAACAAGGAAGACAGTGGGGGTTTCCGGTCCTGTTCTGGGGGGGGGAGCGTTTCGGGTGGAGATTTTGGGTGTGATAAACTTTTTTGGCAAGGCCTCTCGGTCCGGGCCGACCCCCGGGAAAGCCTTAAATCAACATTCAGCCCCTAGAAATGATAAAGTTCCCTATATATTATTCATGAGTGAGCCCAAAGCACAGCCAATCAGACACAAGGGATCATAATATGCCCATTTACAGTGGTACAGTGGTACAGTGGTACAGTTGTACATGCACGGTGCACACTCGCCAAAGCTCCAGTCATTCATTTAATAGCATTAATGTGTTCGTTCGCGACTCGCGGATTACTAAATCGGAGTGCACTCAGCGGTGGGGCTGCTGATAGAATTTCCGTTTCTCTTTCATCGAAAAAGGAGAGTAATCACAGGACACACACACACATTCACCTATGTGAATATTATCCGTGCAGATAGATGCATATCCGAGACAGAGCCAGAGTCAGCAGTGGATCAGCTTACACGTGTGCGAGTGGCTCGATGGGTTTCAATGGGTTCAGAGTTACAAGTAATTTCCCCCTTTGCGCTTTCCCCAAAGCATTCACCACACACACACACAATCATTGTATGCACTTGAGAGCACACAACTTGTAAATAAGCCATGCACTTATATTGCTTTCCCTGCCAGCAGACCCTCCTCCAGCCATGATTATTGCAACTGTTCTGTGGGTAATATTTGCAACATCTTTAAACGGTTGCCAAGTGCCACAGGGGAAAGAGGGAATCCAAATCACGACCTTTAACTGCCATAGAAACGGTGGGTGGATCCCAAGCGTATCCACAGCGCCAGCTTCCTCTAGGCTTTGAAGTTTATTATTGGCCGAACTCTTGGTGGACAGATACACGGCTGATGCAAAGAGCAACGAGTAAAATAGCAGCATAATTTACAAATTGACAGTGAGGAACCATTTCAGACGGCGCTTGACACATGCTCGAATTGAATGTGCCAATCAAGGCAGTGACATCCCTGAATGCACACCCACACAACACACCCACAAGCCCACACTCCGATGAGGCCTTTGTCTCCAAAATTTCACCTCTGTCCTCGTCTCGATTTAACTTTCAATTTACTGCTGAATGAACTCGGGTCGGGGCTCGGGGCTCGGTGCTCGGGGTTAATAATAGTTAAAGTTCACACATTGTGTGGCACTTGCACTTGCAGTTCCAGTTGCAGTTCCAGTTGCATTTTGTTGTTGGCAAATGTTTACACGAACTTTTCTAAGTTTTTGGCCATTCATTGGAGCGACTTTGTTGGCCAACTGCACTTTGTTGGCTTTTATGGGCAGGAAGCTGTCAATATTGAGGCCATACGCGATAAAATATGATAGTAAACCAGAACCAGGGACAAACACATTACAGGCAGAGAGATAGAGAGACCGAGGCTCTGGCACTGGCTCGCAAGTGAAGTGAACTTAGTGAAAGGTGAATCGTAAAAGTAGTCGTAAAACTGGAATCACTAAGCATCCGCGCATTGTCTTTGGTGGATTACCAAGCGTTGAACAGCTTTCGTGCTTAATTTATAATTCTTAAATTGTAATCAGCGTTTCGCCGAATAATTACTGCATATTTATTTCAGGATTCTCATTCGCTCACCTGTCACTGCGGCCTGCCTGCCTGCTTGCCCGGAGGTTCCCTGTGGTCTGCTCTTAATGGTCTGCTGGTCCTGTTGTGTGAAAAATCACGGGCTACGCCTTATAATTGCCACGCCCACGTTGTGCAGCAAACATTTGTCTGTCGGCGGCAGTTGTTGTTTTCACCACACCCACAGCCAGCCGTTGACAAGCCATTTGTCACTTTTACACGGCCACCCAGTGGCCCACCTCTGCAGGTATCCGAGATTAAGGGATGCTGGTACTGGTACTGGTGCTGGCGCCTGCCCTTTGAATCCCACATTGACCCACTTGGATCCGCTGCCAAGGCATATTTTAACCACAAACCATTGCCGGGAATTTATGAAAATGCCATCGAAATGCTGCCAAATCGATTTGCGGCCAAGAGTTACGAAGTCAACTGTTTTCGGGAATGAACCGAACGAACACACATGAACAGTCGTTTCGAAGTCAGTTCGTACACAATACAGAATGAATATTTATAGACAAAATTTAAAATAATGAACATTGTGCGAAAGCTGCGCTCGGGCCAGCAGCGGGCAGTCCTCGGGCTTTGGCAGCGTTATGCCTCGAAGGACCACTCCAAGAATCCGCCGAAGGACCAGTCTAAGAATCCGCCGAAAGACCAGGCGAAGAATCAGTCAAAGGACTGCGGTCAGCTCCAGGCGAGCAGCATATGCGGCAAGAGTCCTGGCAAATCAGGGCAAACATCCAAGGGCTCAGGTAAATCAGACAAAGGACCCGACAAGGGAAAAGCCGACGCCAATCGTAAGAAGATAACCATGATTGATGGCGACGGCGTCGGCCCGGAGCTGACGAATGCCGTGCTGGAGGTCTGCTGTGCGGCCAAGGTGCCCATCGACTGGGACATCTTCCACGACCATCGAGCACCCGACAGCGAGGATGTGGCGCCGCAGCTGCTGGAGTCCCTGTGCCGCAACAAAATGGGCATAAGCGGACCCATCAAGAGCCGCCAGTGGGCGGACAAGCTGCGCAAGGAACTGAACCAGTTCGCGTACGTGTCCGTGTGCCACCACCTGGAAGGGCAGGAGTCGCCGTACGGCAAGTTCGACTGTGTGATCGTGCGGGACCAGTTCGAGGGGGAGTACTCGGGCATCGAGCACCGGGTGGTGCCCGGCGTGATGCAGACCATTAAGGTGAGCACCTCAGTGGGTGCCACGCGCCTCGCCAAGTTCGTGTTCGACTACGCCCTGAAGCAGAAGCGCAAGAAGATCACGGTGGCCCACAAGGCAAACATCATGCAGCTGACCGACGGCAACTTCCTCGAGGCCATGCACGAGGAGGCCGACAAGCATGTGGAGAAGGTGCGCTTCGAGGAGCGCTACCTGGACACGGTCTGCCTCAACATGCTGATGAGGCCGGAGATCAACGACATCCTTGTGTCGTCCAGCATGTACGGGGACGTCATCAGCACCATTGGCGGCAGCATGATGGGCGGCATCGGCATGTGCCCTGGCTACGCGGTCAGCCCCAAGGGCCTGCTCTACAACTGCCAAATCCAGCCGTGCGAGTGCATGGCCGGCAAGGATCTGGTCAATCCCACCGGCCTGCTGCTCGCCACTGTGCTCATGCTGCGCGAGCTGAAACTCAACGATCATGCCACCAGCATTCAGTGCGCCATCCAATCGCTGTACAAGGACTCCGAGCTACGCACTCAGGATCTGGACGGCAAGGCCAAGTGCTCGCAGTTTGTCCAGGCATTGTGTGAGATCCTGACCGGCGATGCCGACTGATGTGTACATTCGAAATTCGTGTTGAAAATGAATAGATCTTTCGCTCAGTGTACGCATTAATAAAGGGGGCAAGTCATTATCGAATTAGAGTGCTCTATTTATAATGTATTTATATGTATTTAGAGTGCAGAGTGCCATCGTACGTACTGTGGTTATATATTGTTCTATTTGCTACTAAATAAAAAACAGTTTTCACTTTACGACTGGCCGAAAAGTGCACTAAAAGTCATCGTTCGATGGGGGCTTATATGGCCGCCATATAAACGGGCACATTGTGATAATTTGCTGGGGACGGGGAACGAACTAAACACATTTATAATATGTAATTACCTCGCATTTAATTCACTCCTTTCGCTGGCCCTGGTGGGGGGTCATAAAAGTCGCCATTCGCTTGGCTATCGCCCGGCAGTCGTATATTTATATAGCCTCAGTCGTCGTCTTCGGCCTGCGTCCCGCGTCCGTGCTCTCTGCACTGCGAGGATGCTGGCTGCAGCGCATTTCGACAGATTTATGGCCGCACGGCATTAACCGCCACAGATGCCAGATGCAGTTTCCTTTGCCGGTGCCCCTCTCTCTCTTTTTTCGGCTCTTAATTAAGTTGCATTTCGAGTCCTGCCACGTGCTGTGGAGCGGGAGGGGGCAGGTCGGTACTCGGGTGCACTCTCTGATAATAAAAGCACATGTTGACATCTGCCCACAGTGTCAGGAGCCCATTATGTACCTATTTGGAGGCTATGGTGGATGTCCTGGGTGCTGGCTGTTGGCTGCTGGATGTTGGATGGTGTAGCTGCCCTTGCTCTGGGCATGGCCATGGCCCTTGGGCGGGGGTGGTGCTGGGGCTGGTGCTGGGGGAGTACCGCTTTTAGTGCCGCTTAAGCTTTTTACACATTTTCGTTTATGGTTTCTGTCGTTTCACTGTTCCACTGCTTCGCTTCGCACCGCTTCCCATGCCATACCCGGGCCCCAACCGCATCCTCAACCGCCGGGACGTGCTGTCAAGGCTGTGCCTATTAGCCCTTGCACCCCGCAGCCCACACCCCCTCCCCGACACTATTCATGGCCCTGTATCCTTTTGTTTTTCTTAAATTGGAATGTCATAAAAGTGTATGTTTGCTTATTTAAAAATCATCCCAAATAAAAAGAGGAGAAGCAAGCAAAAGGCAGCGTCGTATTGTTTCTGTTGCTGTCTTTTGCTTGCTTCTGAGCCTTGGCGCTTTCCCTTATCCGTTGTGCCTTTGCCAGGCTCCTGCTCCAGCTCCAGTTCCAGCTGCTTTTCTTGCTACTTTTGTTGCATGGTGTTGGGTGCTGGCTTCTGGTGCCCTTTCGTATCTGGTGTTTGTCTGCGTCGACTTCCGTTTCCGGTTGCACGCTCGCCATTGCCTCGGCCCTTTTTATTACTTCTGGCGCACATGCTTTGCCTGCACGTTTTCTGGTCCTGTTCTGTTGACTTTTAATGGATTTTTATTAAAAGCAAATGGGCAATGCACCAGCATGGAAATGGAAATTCAAATCATGCCTAGCAGCCAGCAAGGAGCAGAGAAGAATGCCCCTGATTGCTCTTTGCACTGCAGATGGAGATGGAGATGGAAATGCCAATTCAATTTCAGGCCCAGGGATGCCATTGTGCTGCAGAATGTCAGAGTTACGCACTTCAAAGATACTTTATGTAGATACATATTTCAGCAAGAAACGAGATATAGTCACACATCACTGGGGGATTGGCTATTGGCTATTGGGTATTGGCTATTGGGTGATTCGCTTCCTGTTTATTTCTTTGTTTTTTTTTTTCGATTGTGCCACCTTTGACCTTTTTGGATTTTCGGACCTTTTCCCTTCGATTTCTTCCACTCAGTTGGAGGTTTGTTTGTTTCCTGTCAACGCAACGAACTGCAAATATGGAGCGTAAATTGACGTTCCCTCCGGCCCCTGGCAAGACTTTCAACAAATATAAATGCCAACTCCTAATGCGACACCCCACACACCCCACACCCCGTTCGCGCGGGCAGTAATTCGGCCCGTGGGCATCATTTGCACAGCGCCCTGGTAGCAACGACCTTGACTTGATCCTGGCAGTCCTGGCAACGGGTTGAAGTGATTTGATTTAATCATCGACTGGCGTAGGCTCGGACTGGTAATGAATAATTCATTCACTCTAAAGGATTCAACTTGCCTTGGCAGTGGGACTCAGACCCCGCCCGTCCTCGGCTGATGCTGTCTGAGGAGTTCATTAATTCGAGAATCCTTTCCACTAATTTAATATCTTTGAATTTTAATTGACTTATTATAAATTAAGTAAAACGGGGGTCAAATTCTGAATGAGGACACATTCCAGAATCCTAGTAGACTAGTAGACTTTTTCCTCAGACCATCCTCCACGCTGTTGCTACTATCGAAGGTGGAGAACTTTCGCTTAAAAAGGTTTTAAAGTCATGAATCAAAAATCAACCTAAACTGCTATGCCGGCGTAGCACACAGTGGACAGCGGGACACATTGCAACTCTTGTTACTGCTACTGGCTAATTTTTGTGACCCATGGGGCAGGGTCATGAGCCAGCAGTAAACATTTGCAACATTAGCGAGCATTTTTACCTGCATCTGCCACTCCAACAGAAATGGCTCCTGCGATGATACATTGCTGGCAGCCATGCAATTAAGAATCCCCACCAACAACCGCTGTCCCCTCCACACCACCACACCACCACACTACACTTCCCCTCTGCCCCACTGCCCTGTGTGTGTGCACTTAGTTCGAAAGAGCCAGAGCCGAACTGCACTGGGATAGAGGGATAGAGGGATACGGATAGGGAGGGATAGAGGGAGCGTGCAATAAACAATGGGGAAAAGCGTTCGAGTTGACAGCGAAACACTAAAACGGTAATTGCCTGTAAACATCGTTTGTAGAGCCAGGCCGTGAGATGTGCTGTGTTGGTGGATGCGGAGGGGGAGGGGGTGCCTGTGGCGATGGCATAATTAGAAACTGAATGAGTGATTAAACCCGTCGTTCTCGCTTCCGAGTTCCAATATTAGGAACCACACAGAGTGGGAAACACCAAAGCCTAGCCAACTTATTAATGGATATATTTGTTCTGAATTTTTGATGATCCTAAAACAGCGCCAAAGAGCAGCGTGTCAAAGGAGCTAAAGCTAAACGCTCTGCAGGGCATTTCCAAATGCTTATACGACATATAAGCGATTTTGATGTAGGTTTGCGGTGCTCTAACGCAACGTTTGTTGGCCAAAGATAAGACATGGGTTTTGTGCGCCGCATGTCCATCAATCAATCAAGGTTGGCAATCGCTTCTTGTCAGAAGTCGTGGAACACATTAGAAGCGTGTCAGTGGCAGATCGCAACAGTCCATGCTCCGCACACGTGCGTGCCTCTTAAATCTAAAATTTAAAAGCGAAATCCTGTAAACCCTTTGGGATGTATGTATGTTTGTACGTATCAATTTAAAGCGCCCAAAAATGCAGCAAAATGCCACAAGCAAACTAGCAACTTCCAACGCTCCCAATAATTTGCCACAGACCACAAAGTCGGGCAGGGGCAGGGGGATGTGGTAAGGAAGGAAGAGTGAGCGAAAACCATTTAGAAAGCTGAAGAGATGCACTGTGGGCGTGGCAAGTGGCAGAAGCAGGCCGAACACCAACAGCGATTGTTCTTATGTTTATGCGCGTTTATTTACGACTCAGAATTTGAATAATTTACGATGCCGACGATGGCCGCTTAAGAATGCCATGAAGGGTGGCCCGGAATATGGGGAATGGCGTGAGAGACGACGCCATGTATGTGCGCGCCATGCAGAACAGCAAAAGGGAGCGGACAGCGCCCCATTCCTCCTCCGCCTCTCCCACCCATGCAAAGGCAAACAAAACAGGACACGAAACATTGAATTTGCTTGGCTTAGACGAGGCTCTCGGCCATATCCACAGCCAAAGCCAAAGCCACGACTACTCCGGTTCCGGTTCGGCAATTTTGTGTCGAGTGGCCAACACTTTGCATAACCCGCCCCTCCCTCTCCCATCCTCCTTGACTAACAGTGGGAGCCAGACGTTTCGCCCGAGAACAGATTGCAACAGAAATGGGCATGCGGCATGCGGCGGAAATGCCGGCGATGGCGATGAACAGAAACGGAAACACAAAATGCCACTATTAACCGGAAGTTAAATTATTGCACTTGTGATGGCAGATATTTTCATTTTCAGCTGGATTTTCCATGACAAAGGTGGCGACTGGGAAACGGTTTCTTCCCCCCACTCCAAAGAAGTGGCATCAGAATATCGTGCCCAATACAATATAAAAATATAGGAAATACAATAGAAGTAAGTTGGCTCTGCGGATCACAACAGAATAGTGTACAATAGGAGCCACAACTCATTCCATTTGGGGGGGAAGCAAAGCGAAAAGTTTAATCAAGTCCTGGAAAATGTCTAGTCTAACAAATGACATGTACTACGCAGAAATATCTTGTCCCGAAAGAAGGCGCACGATTCTGCGAGGCTTCTTTAGCCCCACGATCGAAAACATTTTCGATGCAGGTACGTGCTGCATGCTGCATGCCACACCAATTGAATTATTGAATTTCACGATCAGTCGTTTTGCAGCCGCTCAAATTGGCATCACGGGCCAGTATTTGATCAGTGCTAAGGACAACACCATCATTGGGGACAAGTTCGCGTTGCGCTATCTTCTGGAGCGGAACCACATGATCCTTGTGTGCGACTCCTTGGATTATCGCCACCCCGCAAAGGTTTCCCTAGAAGTTGCCGGCGAAACTACCACCGAAGAGGAGCAGCCTCTGCAGTTGGATATGGAACAGGACCTGGAGGACCTGGAGCTCACAAGTTCGGAGAAGGAAATGTTGCACCGGGTGGTCGGCTGGGCTGTTTATCGACTTCAGCAAGTTCCTCTCGAGACAAACACACTCGGCATCAGGGAGTCATCGACCAGGTGGTTGAACGCATTCAGAAAGTTCCTCTCGAGACAAACACACTCGAGCGTCTAATATGAATATAAATTCAAAATTAAATGCTCCCCCCTGTACGACCGAATAAAGCTGGCGGCTATCTGTTTTAGATAGTCGAGGTATCTTTCAGATAGCGACAGATATTGAGTACTTTGAATACGGGTATGACTGAGGCACTGCGCACCTTGAACCCCGGATATCAATGTACTCAAAACATTTGAGAGATAATCAAACAAATGAATGGACTGCCAGCAGATATCAAATTAATTAATTTCAAAATCTATCTGGACTTATAACGATTTAAGTTCTGTTTATTCGAACACAAAGAATGCTCTTCTTTTGGTAATTTGTATGCTAAAAATTTATATGATATTCCCTATTGGTGTACGAGTGAAGAGATCGAATCACTTGGAGCGCTCATCGAAGATATTTCGGGCCTCACTCCTCATGACCTTGCCATTCACATTCGTCGGGATGTGGTCGACGAAGACAACGCCGGCATTGAGCTGTTTGTAGTCCACGACCACCCGCTGGGCCACATAATCGATGATCTTCTGGGCGGTGATCTCGAGGCCCTCCTTTCGGATGACCAAAGCGCCGGCCGCGTCGCCGTAGCGCTCATCCCGCACGCCCACCACGCACACATCCTCGATCTCTGGCAGCTCGGCGATGATCTGCTCGATCTCGTTGGGCCAGTAGTGCTTGGACTTGTACTTCAGCAGGTCCTTCTTGCGGTCCACCAGATACAGGTTGTTGTCCGCGTCGAAGTAGCCCAGATCCCCAAGATTGATCCAACCGTCCTCCAGGGTGGCGGCAGTGTCCTCCGCGTTGTCCAGGTAGCCCAACCACTTGAGCCCGATGTCGATGAGCACCTCGCCCACTTCGTTGACGCCCAGCGGCTGTCGGTTCTCGCCGAGGATCTTGATCCGCATGCCAGGCCCCAGGCGGCCCACGGAGTTCTCCAGACTCTGGTCGATGTTGACAGTCACGATGCCCGTCTCGGTGGTGCCATACGAGAACATGATGTAGCACTTGGGCAGCAGGGCCTGGCACTTGCGCAGCAGGGCCAGCGATATCCAGCCGCCGATCACAAAGGAGATCTTCAGGCTCTGCAGAGTCTCCGCGGTGGCCAGGGGACTGGTGTACAGCTCGTAGGCCTGCCACGGTGCCATCGCGATGCAGGTGACCTTGTACTTTTGCACGATGGCAGCGGCATTCCCGGCGCTGAAGGGCTGTTCGGAAACGATGCGGGTGAGTCCGTATATGAGACTCATTACCATGATCGAGAATCCAGTCATCCAATCAATGGAGGCGCTGGTGTACAGCACATCGTAGCTGAAGCAGAAGCTGCAGACGCACAGGAATCGGGGTTAGGGCGGGGCATATGCCATTTGGCAGGGTAAGCGGGGGGTCAACTCACGAATTGGTGCTGCAGAGGTGACGATGCGAGAGCATCACAGCCTTGGGCAGGCCTGCGGTGCCCGAGGAGCACAGCACCACCGCTGTTTGATCGCCGCCAGTAGCCAGAGGCGTAGGCCTGTCAATGAAGCGAAAGGAATACATCCGGAAATCTTTGAATAACTCTCATATCTACACTTGTAGCTCACTTGTAGCTTGCCTCTGCGGGATGGGGCTTTATCAGATCCTCGACACTGGGCACACCCTCCACGCGACCCGTCAGGGTGATGATCTTCGGCGCCCAGTCCTTGCAGATGTCCTTAATGGTCTCATAGTCTGAGGCGTCGCAGAACATGATCTTGGGCTTGGTGACGGAGTAGAGTCTGGCGACAACCTGTGGCTCCCTGCTGCTGTTGATGGCATGGAAGGGGGTCGTGTTGAAGAAGCAAGCGGTCGCCACGGGCATAACGTAGGTGCTGCCCCTGCCAATGATCCCCACCCTGTCCTCGTGGGTCAGACCCTCGGCCCTGAAGTAGAGGGCAATGCGGCTGGCCAGGGCGAGCACATCGCCATTGGTGAGGACTGTGTCGTCGTCGGCGGTGATCTACTTTTATATAGGGATGGGATCTCATCAAATCCAGTCCTCCCACGAGTCCCTCGATCGTCGCTGTATCCCTTACCTGAAGGACGTTGGTCGCCCAGCATTTCAGGGAGTTGTACACCACCTGGCCGACCGAACAGTTGTAGTCGTACAGCGTGGACCTGGGCACGCCGCTCCAGATCTTCGTTTCCTTGTCGTAGGATGTCGGAAAGATGGCCCGGGCCGTCATATTGCTGGAATCAAAATCAAGTTTGCTACTGACGGCCCACCACCCCACCAGCGTCTTTATATATCTGCACCACTACAGCGGGTGAGCCAATGGGAACATTCCATCGTTTCTGCACCCTGTACACATCTGCATATGTGCCACACATAAATGTGTCTTTATCAAGCGTCTTTATATACCATTATCACTAATCGAGCCAGTCCAAAGTTTATCCAAACATTTGCTCGTATCCGAGAGATTGGGTGGCATTCTAATTCTTTGAATCAGCGAGCCATCAGCTGAGTTCTGTTGCGGACTCCCGCGCTAATCTCAAGTTTTAATTTCCGTTTGCGATTGGCAGGGGGGTGGGGAGTGACTTCCGTGTGTTTGACGCCCTTGATGTTTAAACTAGATGATTGTACCGGGAACTGTACCCCCCACCACCACCCAGTATGTCGATGATTAAGCCGAAAGATTAAAAATATTAGTTCGAAGACTCTCTTTAGAGATGAGAAATTGAAAGCCCAATACTTTTGGTATCTTTTGCTATGTTTATGGCATAAGCATATCTACTTATAATAATAATAATAAGTGGATTTAGGGTTAGTGGTATTTTCATCTTGCCAGATTTTCCTCCTCATGTATTTTACACATTTAATAAAATTCACCTAAATTCAACATGCATTAATATTTAATTATATTTTAAGGAATTTCCCGAAAAAAGTTTCGCTTTAAATGAACTCCGCTCGACTTCCACTTTGTTGTTTGTTGTTGGTCCCGCATTTTATTGCTATAATAATTTGGTGTGCCACGCCCTGTTGCGCCATTTGCATGGTGTGGCAGCATCCCAAACTTCCGCATCCGTTGTGGGGTCCGCATGCATATATTTGCATCACATTACAGGGCCCCTGCCGCCTTCCTTTTGGCCCTCTGGCTGGCCAAAAGAAACCAAAAGAGTTTAAAGTGTTTCTGAATTTGTGTGCTGGAAAATGAGCAAGGAGCACAGGGCAAGGAATGGGCCCAAACGGTCCTGGCGTCCAATATGCTTCTGCTGATTGGCATGCAAATAAGGAGTCGGCAGACATTGCCCCCCCGTCTTAAATCTTTAAAATGAGCAAACGCATCCTCGTGCATTAGTGGGAGGGATTTTGATATCGATTTGATTGGCGGTTTTCGGTATTCGCTCCTGTGGCTTTTCCATTCAGTGGTCACTTTGCCTACTCATGCGGCTAAGCCGGCGATGCGTCTCACCTGAAGCTGCACCGGTATTGTTGTTTAGGCTACTTCTATTGTGGCGCCAATCTAATTAATTTCCAGCGCTGCGACGCGACGCCAGCGTGTCAGTGAGGTGGAAAAATTTGTTGTTAATTGAATAAACAGCCAATGGCTAATAGGAAGCTACAACTGCCATGAATACAGTAGCGTATGCGCTCTCTACGCTGATAACAGTGATAAGATAAGAAATTGATTTAATTACGAGTATGTGAAGCTTTCCACCACCGCCCCGCCCCTTAACACACCCCTTACAAGAGCTACAGCGAGCCCCTGACCACAGACACCAAACAGAGAACAAATAGTGAAATTTGCTTTGCGCCGTTATCACTCGTATCACTCTTATCACACTTGTTGGCGGTCCCACCACGTGTTCGATGTTTTTACCCCTCCCTGCCCCACGAAAACTGTCATATATCTTGCATACGGACACTGCGCAGGCGCGGAGAGTGTTCCACTGCCGAGGCGTTCCGCCAAACATCGCGCCATTCATAAAAGGCGGCGTAGGATGCTGCTAGGATGCTGGACGCCAGGACGACAGTCGGTTGTCTGGGGACTCGGGTACGTTCACACAGTTTGCGGTGATTCTTACAACGAAGCGGTTGCAGCAGCAGCAGCAGCAGCAGTGGCGCTCAGTTTGAACGGAGAACTCAAACGAAACGAAAGACCAAGATTCAGAAGGAGCATTCATGAAGAAATTCGATTTGTGCCAAAGAGACTTGAGAGATTGATGACTGCTTGATGAGATTATCAGCTCAGATGTCCCTAAAGGATTGTTAATCGTGCAACGAATCGTGCGTATGGGCCAGGCCGAGTTGGGAAGTTAGCAAAAAGCCCAAGCAGAACGAATATACACGCGAAAGTTTCGCTCAAGTGTTGTTAAGTGTCGCAAAGTTCGCCGTGATAGTTAAGTGTGCTCGCCAATTCAGTTTACTCACACGTTGGCCTTTTCCGCAAAAGTTTTCCCGGCCAGAAACCCACTGCCCAGGCTCACATCCGTCCTTTTCCTGCCTGCCTGCCTGCTTGCCTGCCTTCCTTGCTTCCTTCCTTCCTTGTCCTGCTGTCAAAATGTTGTGCCCAGAACAATTGAAGTTTTGACAACAAAATTTAGTTAAGCAAAGCTGCACCCATTTCATATTCTCCTTTTTTTTGCGCTGGGAGTGGAGTGGCGGCAAATTTCTGGTGAACTTTTGGCAGCCTGTCGGTGTGGCTTTGGTTAACTAGAGAGTGCCACACGAGCGCCACCCCCCCACCCACAAAAGCGAACAGCGGGAACGTGTGATGTGAATGGTAAGTGCAGCCGGTGGAGTCCACTCTTAATCCGTTTACCGATTTTGAAATAGTTGAAATGAAAAACTGAAATGCCCTCGCACTTGTGGACAGGTCACAGTTGTTCAATTATATTCTTAGAGCGATGCGAGTGACGTTTGGTCCCAGAACTAAAAAAAATACAACGATCCGCACTCTATGGCTAATAGTTATTTGAAGCTCTACAAATGCATCAGACATTAATTTTAGGGCACTGCTCGCCTCGACCTGCGAACGTTTCTTATTTATTTTAAAATTGTTTATTCTCTCGAACTCTAGAAACTCTACAGAAAGTTGGATGGCTGAAATTGTTTCCTTTCGGTGCGAGTGAAGAGCAAAGGTGTAAGCTCTGATTGCATTTTCTTTGATTTGGGAAATCATAGTAATTTTTTGTGTTGTGTGTGGAATTTTTGATGGCAAAATGGTGTACGCCATGAGCGCAAATGGAAGTTGCATTTTTGTAAAGAAAATTTAATTTATTTCCAATTTGTATCCATGGGATGAATCTTTTTTTTTTTGCTGTGTACGGACATAACTTTTTTAAATAAAAATGACCGAGTAAAAGTTTCAAGCTAAATGCATTTATATATATATATACATATACACGACTATTTAAATTGCATGCGAAGTACAGAAAGCTTTTATATCAAATTTAATTTCACACATACACAAAATACTCTGTGGTGCAAAATTTCAGGGGGAAACGAACATGGCCCAAAGGTGCACAAGAAGAGCAACACGACACACAATGCCACACGCACTTGCCAGACTCTTGAGATGCTCTTTGAAAACATTTCGCCAGTCATTTGCATGCATTCTTTTTGTGGTAATTGTTGCCTTATGGCTGCCCACAGAAGCAGGCGTCAGTCAGATACAGACACAGCCACAGACACAGACATAGACACATACTCCACATCCACATGTTCGGTCCTTAAAGCCGCATAAATATGCCCACAACTGTGGACAAGCAAGCGGAGAGCGAGTGCCCTGTGGTCAGTGGAGAATGTGTGTGGGGGAATGGGTCCGTGCGTGTCGCATCTATAATTAAGTGAATCCAAAGCATGCCAGAGCCCTCCCATTGGAAGGCTGGCACCAAACATGAGGAACAATCGGAAATGACGTCTTGGTCGGTCGCCATCTGGGTGTGGCATTTCCACGGTATGGCAGTGAAGTCGTAAATTGAGATATTTAAGAAACAATTTAAGGTTCATTCTCGTACAATTAGCAGGTGAATTTCTCGTAATAAGTCATCTCTGACATTGGGATGTATGCTATTCAGAATTATTCTGGACATTGTTTCCCTTTGTGTGTAAATCAGAGGAAGGCAGATGGACAGACAGATAGATGGACATATGGGAACACACACAAAGGCACATGGCCAAGAGCAGTTCCTGGCCAAATCAATTAAATTAGCCGTAATATACGGCAAATGTTTGCCTAGTTTGAGTCTGGCACTCGGAATTCACTCTCAGCATATTACAGTGTCCTTGTTTGTGCAGGGGGTGTGTGCGGAGGTGGCTGCTCATGAGTAATACGCACACATAATTATGAAAAATACACACAGACGTTAGAGCTCAGATCCAGGGAACTGCCACAGTGAATGCTCGTTAACATAAACAAAATATGATGATGTTTCCTCCTCTGTATCTCGGCATCTCTGCATCCCTGCTGTTTGTTTGTATTCTTTGGCATGGGCTAGAGCACCAATTAATGCTCATTCGCATCTGCATAAGCCCGGAACACAGACAGAGCTCAGAGGGAGTCCATGCTATGCTCTGCCCTTAAAACAACATTCATTTTTCCGCAAGCATCCCATTGCTCGCAGGCCAAAGAAAATAATTACAAGGCGCTGACCGTTAGCACAAAATTGTAATGCTAATAAACAGCCATGGAGGAGAGATATGGCTGCAGCCTGGACCTGGAAATAAACTCGTAATGACCTGTTAATGTGCCGCATCTGAGGCTGAATTGAGCGTGGATTGGCCAATTATGGAGTGTGCCTTTACGATGAGAGTTAAGCCAACTTATGAGCTCTGAATAATGCAGATAATTACCCTGCAACAAATTAAATCTATGCACATACTCGTAGCTATATGCAGTACATAGGTACACACATCCACAGTCAATGTGTCGTTGTTTGTATATTTATTGTCCACAAGTCAATGATCTGCCAAAGCTAATTCCATTTGAAATTAGATACAATCGCGTAGGTTGTACGTATAACTTTTTGTCTAGTTGCACCCCATTCGAGATACAAAACAAAGAAGGGACACAAAACGATTACATAAAGAACAAATCTGTGATAAATTCGCAAGAGACAAAAAAAGAAAAATAGCCAGCAAACGAGCCACCAAATAAAGAAAATCAACGAGCACGAATGAAAGCATGAAAATTATTGCCAGCCATATTTTTGCTGGCTCAGAGGCTTTGGCTATAGCTTTAGCTTTGGTTTTTGCTCTCGCTTTTTGTGTAGTTATGGACTGTGTGGCATAGACCGACGCACACGAGGCACAAAGCTTAAATAAATAAAATAAATCAAAAATGTAAATCAACACTCGAATTTATATCTATATATACATTCATATATACACACATATGTATAGAGCAGAAGCTGCTCCTGGGATAATAATTTGCACACCCACACACACTCGGGAGTGTGTGGTGAAAATGTGGGCTGAGGGAAATTCGACTCTCATTAAATTGGTCTGTCTTTTGCTGTTGAGCATCCATTGCCTGTGCTCCTCATGCGGTTTGTCATTTGGATGCCGCCTCTATAATAAATGAAATCAGGACAAAGCATTCATTTATGGCCAGAAGAAATGTTTGGTTCCCGAGTGTCAAACAAAATATTATATTATGTCCACAGGCCATACTACAAAAGCCCTTCTAACGAAGCATTTATTTTATTTTACGACTAGTTTTCTGTTCGTCTCTCTTTTTTTCTGTAGCTTTTTGTAGCTTTTCCTGGCAATAACTCAACGATTGAAAATGTCTGATTTAAGGAAAAACTCTTATTTATTTACTTTACTATGCTGTCTGGGAAGGGAAAATGTTTACATAGGAGAACCAAGAGAAGAACGTAAATAGAAACAAAGCAAAATTCGAGGGAAATTCAAGCGTTTTAATTATTGCAACTTCTTTAAAATAAATACGAATTTCGCTGAACCGTAATGATTGCGTTTGGTGATTTCCCCTGGAGACACTCACTCTCCGGTCTCCCTAAATCGAGCATTGAGTTGCCTTTGACGAGCGAGAATATCTTTCATTGGAGTTTTCGTCATGGAATACACACGAAATGCTCTTAATTTCGTCTTCATTTTATGCCCGCAGCACTGTCCTGTCGGGCACCTCTTCATTTCATTTGACAAACTGAAACGTGACAAGGAGGATGTCGCAGGATGGACAGACAGATGGGCTGTTGCATTGGCATCCTTTTTCCTTTTCTTTCTGTTTTTTTTTTATACACCTGTTTATAATTCCGGGGGGGAAACCACTCCACTCCACACCACTCCACATTTTTATCAGCATCATCACGGCATCTTGCATTTCTGAGAGGAATTGTCGTCTCATTTCTCCGTTCGCGCTCCATTCCATTTTTATCATCTGAATGCTACACCACCTTCATTACCATCCTTAATTCCATTCGTTTTCCACCTTCTTCCTCCGCCGTGATAGCCGTTGTACACTGCCTTTTGGCAGCGGCTTGTCATTCAATTTGACGCCACATTTATTCACTTTTTTCTCTCTCTTACTTTGGGTTTGGCACTGGTCGCCACTTTTTCACTCGCCATTTACATACTTTCTCTTTAATTGCTTCGTTATGGGCCGTGCCTGTACTTGTGCTTCCTGTATTTTCGGTGCGTATACTTAATACGTATCCTTCCTCGCGGCTGATGTGTTTGTTGTCCCCCAGGTAATTAATGTATGATCACTACTTGTCCGAGTATTCCCTTTGGTGCGCCCACTTTCGGCCTTTTGCCCTTAAATTATCTCCAACTGGCCGTTTATCCTCCGTCACATACTCATCGTCGGTTCACTTGTTTCCCTTGAAGTTGAACATCCACTGCTAAGTGTTCTCACTGAAGTTCGTATCTCTCGAAAGGTATTATATATTAAAATGTATTGTTTTTTGCTTTATAAATTCTGCTCAAATTGTTGTACAAATATTTTGAAGTAAACAAGAAAAAGGATTTTGGGGCAGTCGTGTGTAGGCTGGCTGTCCTGTCGGGACTCATTTCTTTGCTTTTTGCCATAATTTATGTTGGCTTGACTGGAGTTTTCAGTTGTTCTATTTAGAAAGTATGCCTCTGACACATTTCAAGGCAGTTTTCCGGCTTACAATGGTTGTTGTTTTGGTTTTCCACTATTTCCATGTACACAAGAGAAATAGTGCAAGAGAGAGAGAATTAAATAGAGAAGGAGGGGGAGAGAGAGAGACAGCAACCATTTGGCACGTTATTCAGTTTAGTTTTTGTTTTTCTATTATTTTTGCAAAAATTTCTATCCAGCATAAATTTTGTTGGCAAGCGAATTCGTCGACAGGCTTCTAAGTGATTTTATTTGTAATTTTTACACAGAGACAAAGAAAGATATATACAGGGTCAGGGAGAAAGAGAGGAAAAGGAAAGCTGACCATGCACTTGGCAAAGAATCATTCGTACAAACAAACTCGCTTCGACTTTCATTTGCTTAATCGTCAGTGGGGACTGGGGACTGGGAAGTGGGACCCGCATTGATTGCTGCTCCATGGCCTATTATCCCTAAGTGCTTATCATAATTTGCGGAGTCGCTTCTCTCCGGCGCTGGAGCCTGTAGACCGTAGTTCTGGCGGACAAGCGTATCGTATCCCATGTCCCAGTGCCATATAAAACTCCGCCTGCGCTGTGCATATCCGTAAGTCGTCTTAGCGTTGAAAGAAATCCCCCAGGGAGACGAGGGGAAATGGATTTTGCAATGCCATGGAAAAGCTAAGACGAAAAAAA